AATATATAGATAGATAAATAGAACAAACTGCATCTTAATATTCAAAGTATTTATTTTCGAGTTTTTGTTATATACATAAGTAATAAATAATCGACAATCTCATATAAATAATATATAGTACATTACAACCGAACACATAAAACACATCACAGATCAAGAGACTAGCTTTTATGAAGACCTTACTTAGTACAGGACACTGCTATGTGATCCTCTTCACACTTCACAACTACCTGGTGTATCACACTGTAACCAGAACGTCTTCGCATCCCGTCGCCTCAGTCGGCGTACAAAAAGCTTGCTTTCAGGTTCGACTCCCAGGCGGCTGTCGGTGGCTGCATGCTTTGCGATGGTCAATCGTTGGCCTAAAAGGACCTCGATAAACCCGACAGGTTTCCCGTGTCTCCGTAAATACGAAACTAAATTAAGTTTTCATATAAAACACAGTTACCTGATCTTCTTCATTGCTCACAACGAGCGCTCACACCTTACGAAGCTGAAGGTATTTGAACAATGATGGAAAACAGCTGCTTTATAACGGACTTTCAGTGTAATTCAGGGCATTTTACTCGGAGGATAAATTTTCTCAATTTTATCGTCATTTCCCTGAGGATCATAGACAATTTTCTCAGAGTCCTGACTGACTTTTGGAAAGAGTACATGATTAGCGATGTTGCTGATGTTGACTAGAAAACTTCCGGTGTTGACCCGGACTACTGGTTTGTGTGTTGTGGCCGAGCTTTCTGGAGAGGCTTCCCCAGTCTTGACGTTAGCTTTTAGTGAGTCTTTGAAAGATTTGATCAGGCTGTGAGACTTGATGTCAGATTTGTTTCCTGAACTAGTTTTAGAAGCAGACTGGTGCCCGTGTGAAGGTTGACTCTGTTGCCCCGACTCCTGCAGGGTGTTGTGGGTGAGGGTGAAGCCATGGGGCAAGGGTGTAGAGAGGGCCAGGGCCAGGGCGTCGGTGGCCAACCTACCAGGGTGACTCTTTGGCCTTGACTCTTGTAGGGTGTTGTGGTTGAAGGTGAGGCCATGGGGCAAAGGCATAGAGAGGGCCAGGGCCAGGGCGTCGGTGGCCAGCCAGCAGGAGTTGGTCCTTATCACCAGCGACTTGTCAGTAACTGGACCAGAAACGAAGCTTGGCTTGGCACTCTCGACGTCATACTGAGCAGACTTGTCAGCTCTCATGATGATGCTGTAAGAAATGAAAAGAGTATAATATTATTTTACAATGAATTCATTGAATATTCACGATTATGAATAGATTCACAAGTACCAGAATATTTATTCTAAAATATTAGTGTTAGATGAGAACGTACCAAAATAAAAGGATCATGAGAGCTGCTGCAGTAACGCCCAGGAAGAAGTGAGCAGCAGGGAAGGTGCTGACGGAGGCGTAGTAGACGGCAGTGTAGAGCGCAGAGTTTACCATGGGCATCAGGCCGTCCAGGGCACCAAGCACCGCAGACACCTTACCTGTGGAAGGTGATCGTTGACTAAGTGCTATACAGGTACTAAATACTGAACATATAATATAAAAAAATTAATACATATATTTTCGCATTAGTATTCAAACAAAATACAAAGCAACTCACCGATTTCGTCTTTGGCTACGAACTTGGTCATCATGGCCCGCTGGGCGATGGTGCAACAGTTGAGCATCAAGGCCGCTACTGGCGCTGAGGGACACAAACATAATGGCGTCACATTGTGCTACATCACACACACACGGTGTCTCAATAATGCCAACTATCCTCCCTCTCTAGCACCTCGCAGCCTTAGGCAACACTCACCTATCCAAATGAAATAAGCTCGAGTGTCGGAGACGCAGCCATAGAGGACATACTCGAAGATGGCGGACATGGCGCCCACCATGGCCAGCAGGTTGTCGGACACTCCCAGACAGCCACTCAGCAGCGGCACCGCCACCAGGGAACCTGACAACCATCAAACCCACCTTTATACACACACTAAAACAACATCATACCCGGCTTTAATACTTACATTAAGACACGATCACATTATGGCACTAAAGAATGGTGTGTTTCAATGTCCATATTATCTTAAATATTCCCACACTGGATACCAAGCTAACTCTTTAAATACGAATGACTTCAACATATTTACAATATTGTGATGAAAACAGGATTTGCAAATGCACATCACATGACAGTATTCGTGCAAATGTCTTACCAGCGGTGGCCATCAGGTTCTTGTAGGTGACCCAGAGGCTGTAGTCGGTAGCCTGCCATCCCAGCACGTGACGGGTGAAAGCGAACACATAGGGAGCTGAGGAGCACATGGGTGGATTACAATACTTGGCTTGACCGAACATGTAATATATCTGAGCAGGAATAATTTTTTGTTTTCAGTATAAATAATACAATTTATAATTTTCTGCTTGACAAACACTTATTGTAGAAACTGTACAATAATGCGACAACTCATTAAAGTTTTCGCCATATCCTCATTAAGGACAAATTTCACTTACATCGAGTAACTCTTCTGAGGAGGCTGGTAAAGATGAGGATAAGGATGAGAGATCGCGTGTTTCCTTCGCGCTTCCTCAGCGTCGACTTGAAGCTGTCGAGGATACGACGAGGATTGAAGAAGTCCTTGAGCATGGTGGAGAGACTTGGGCGGGTGTGGAGGGTGTTGGTAGACGAAGCGTTCACCTCCAACCCGTACACTGCCGCCACACTCTCCCGCAGCTCCACTTGTGTCTTGTGGTCTGGGACAACGGCCATGGTCTTCTTGACGAAGGGTCCGTGGCTCTCAGGAAGACACACCACCACATACACCACAGCCATCACGGACAGCGTCAAGGAAGTGGCAAAGAGTGGCAGGTACCCGCCCCAGCTGTAGATGTAAGTGCCCATCAGAGTGCCCACTGGTCCACCCAGGAACCAGATACTATTGGCCAATCCCACCCTCGAGGTGCGCGACTCTTCCGAGGACACGTCACCAATGTAAGAGTTTGCGGCGGTCAAGAATGACACGGTTCCGCCTCCCAGTGTGTCCAGAAGCGTGACCGCAAGTAGCACTTCGGCAGGCCATGAAGGTGCCAAAGACGCCAGCAAGTAGCCCGCGGCGTGGAGTGCGTGGCCCACCTGTACTGCCACCAGCGGCACCTTCCTGCCATACTTGTCACTCCAGGCACCCATAAAGAGGATGAAGAAAAGTGGAAGAGCGGCGGCGATGATGCCGTTATAAAGGGCGAAGACACTGTACCTTTGCTGCACCTCCACACTGGCTTCAGGTTGTGCCTTGAGGTTGTCACACACCTGCTGGGAGAAGCCGCTGTTCACTCTACACACCCGATCCATCTGCAGGTTCTCTATGTACACGTGTATACTGGAGAAGGCGAGACCATCGAGCAGCATCAGGGGCTCCACGGTCACGCCCTTCAGCACGCCCAACACCCGCGAACAAACGCTTCTTGCATTTACGCGACCACTCTTCATTTTGCGACTGAACGATTAATAAACTGCTCCTTTGTTAATACTGGTTTTCATAAAGCCTGTGCTAGTTTCAATTTCTCAATTGTATATATATATATATATATGGATCTATATATGATAATCAAATGTATGTTCCTTGGTTGCAGAATCCCCACTAGAACAAGCTACTCCTACGAGGAGGTGTTTGAATGTAAGATACAACTTGAGCTACGCAGCTTAATATAGGAGTCCCTATCCGCTCCTGGCGGGGCTGGGAGTGACGTCAAGGAAGAGGGAAGTGTCCCGGGTGTGCGGTGACGTTGGGTCCGCGCTCCCTGCCTCGGGCTGCTTCCCCATGTCTCCCAGGAGGTGCTGGCAACACACGACCAAAATCATTTGATGAAAGTCATGTAACGCTGTTGTGGCACAGAATCACATGCACGGGTCCAAAGTTGTCTCGTAAGTGAAGAAATACCGCAAGCAGACACCCTATGACCTTCTGGCTCACCGCGGCTCATCCGAAAGCGATCATTAACCTATTCACCCGGAACGTTAAAGTATCAGCCCTTTTAAAGAGCAAATATTTTACCTTTAGCCAGGAACATACACATGTATACATAAATATCCAGCCAGGAGCTGGAGCTCAACCCTTGCAAACACATTTTTAGCCTAGATAGGAATGCACGGCACAAGGGCAACAAATACTGAATACTGTAGGAGTCAGTTGCTGGACACGTCAACATGCATGTCTATGCAAGTAAAAATGTACACGCTCACACATAGTAGGGAAATGAGTGTGTATATGAGGTGAGGTGACGGTCAGGTAGGAGAGGATTCCGGGAGTACTCTTATTGCCTAAGCCCAGCCTGGGGCCAGGATGACTCGTGATCACTTGGTCCAACAGGCTGTTGGTTGGAGCGGCACACAGGCTCATATATCCACTACAACCTGGTTGGTCCGGAAACTCTTGCAGAAACAAGCATAAGAAATATTGCCGTACCTTTGTTCCGGCAATATTTCATATGCCTGCTAGGAGAGTATTGAACAGCCGTGGACTTCTGGTGTTCATATAGTGCTCTCTGAGTGTGCCTATGGCACCTTTACTCTTCACTGGTTCTGTTCTACATTATCTTCCTTATCTTTAGCTCCAGTATGTTGTTATTTTACTGTGCAAATTTGGGATCTGGCCTTCCAGTATTTTCCATGTATATTTTATAAGATGCCTCTCTCGTTTCCTTCACAGGGAGTACATTTTTTTTAATTTTGAGACAGTGCCAACAATTTGAGTGCTTTGTTGTGTCAAGGCATGCCGTATATGTTCTGTGTGTTCTCTTCTGTTTCAGAAATCTCTCCATCTCTGAAAGGGGAAGTAAGTACCGAGCAATACTCACGGCGGGACAGTACCAGTGATATAAATATTATTAAGTAAGTAATGGTAGTGTCTTCTCACAGACATAATAACACTGAGTGTCTTTTGCACTCAGCGACTGATGTAAGTTGATATGTAAGTCTCAACTTACATAAGGTCTTATGTAAGGTCTGAGTATGTGGTTAGGAGTCTCGTCCTAACCACATACTCAAACCTTCACAGAACACTCAGGAGAATGCGACAGATTTGGTATAAATCTTTTACATAAAATAAACCAATATATCAGTGTGATTTTTTATCAAATAGTGATGAGATGCCATTGTGATGAGATCCCTGGATTGTAAAATTCTCATAACCCATCCAATCATCTGAGGCTATATTTGCTTGGTTATTTACTGAACGCCAGGTCGTCAAACATTATAATTCCCAGGTTAGGGTAAGGACAAGGAGGTGAACTAATAAGGTAGGAGTAAAGGTACAAGGTTAGGGCAAGGAGGTGATGGGGTAAGTGAGGCCAGGCAGGTGCGATACGGTGAGGGGTGAGGCCAGAGAGATGAGGCTACGGTGAGGTTATGCCTGGGAGGCGAGGTGACGAGATGGTGACGAGATGGGGACGAGGGGTTAAAGCTTGGGAGGTGAGGGATGATATTTGTCTAGCAGCAAATTACCAAGTAAGATTGTAATACTGAATTTCCCTTACTTGTGTTCGGTGGTGTTATGATGACTACAGAATCTATAATTTTCTTCAAAAGTTAGTTTCGTTAGTTTTTTGTTTTAATATTGATGAGTTTAGTGTCCTTACAATTTATACGATGCTGCTCGTGGTTTGCGTTGTGAAGGAAGTGGTGTCCAACAGTTAGTTCCTGGAAGACGAATACCAAGTCACTGTCGATTCCTTCCCGTATAAAGCAATTCAGACACCGAGCACCAAACAGCCACAAAACAGAAGCAGAATGACGGTTCATTCTCTCAGAAGGGAAGACAACAAACAATTTCATTAACACCTGCAGTAAAGACAACACCGGTGTTTGGCCAAAATATTCCCATGTTGTCATCGTCAGAAACACACCTAACAACAAGGGGCCAGATTCACGAAAGCACTTACGCAAGCACTTAGGAACGTGCACATCTTTCCTCAATCTTTGACGGCTTTGGTTACATTTATTAAACAGTTTACAATCATGAAAACTTCCCAATCAACTGTTGTTATTGTTATAAACAGCCTCCTGGTACCTAGGAACTCATTAACTGTTTAATAATTGTAAATAAAGCCGCCAAGGATTGAGAAAAGATGTACAGGTTCGTAAGTGCTTCGTAAATCTGGCCCCAGGCCACCACGACAGGCGTGTTCACAATACCTGGTAACAATCGTTGAACATGCTGCTATGGCGGTATGTCTACTCACAGGATGAGTGGCGCGGCCCCAATAAACTTGCTCCTCGGGACAAAATTCAAAATATTTATTGTGACAAAGCCTACACAGGAGAAACATCCCGGCAAATAGATGTTAGTTATTGACGAGTGTCGTAAGCCCGCGGGTCGGGCTAACATCAAGGCTTGTGACACACAGATGCCTCCACCACCGTCTCACCAGCCTAACCTCACTACACTAATTTAAGTAGAAATCAACATTGATAAAGTATATAAAATGTGCATACATTAAACATTACAACAACATTGAACTGAATCAAACAAAGTTCAGCATTACAAGCCCACTTGCCGAAATTACTACTTGGGAAAATATATTGACATAAATCTCAAACTAACACCATCGGCAGTGTTCAGCAAATTACTGACATCCCGTTTCTTAAAAAAAGTAATAACACATGTCCATTATAAAGCAATGTCAAGCGATTGAAATACATTAAGAAAACCCACAAGAAATCGAAATAGATGTGTCAGAATTTGAGTCGAACTGAATATCGCGAAGAAGCAACTGCCCAATAAACTTACCATTTGGGGCAAAATAATTATTTTTTAAGCAGATGAAGAAGATGTGGACACGATCAGGGAGTCATGTGAGGAACATTGTGCAACACAACTATCACCTTATATTAGGCTGCACATGTCCGGTAGCCTCACCGGACATGTACTCACTCACTCACTCACTCACTCACTCACTCACATGTGAGAAACGGCTTGTGAGAGACGCCTTGTGCAACCTGCAATCATAGTAACGAGAGCTGATTACCACACAAGGTTAACCAGTTCTACGATAGTGCTAGGCGAAGGTCAGGGTGGGCGACGTGGAGGCGTGGGTGTTGCAGTGGGGAGACGAAGGTGTTGCAATGTGTGAGTGGGGAAGCGTAGGTGTTGCGGTGTGTGAAAGAATCACGGTCGGGGGAGTAGTTAATCATGGTCACAGTGAAGGAAGTCACAGGGTCCGACACTGATCTATAGTTTTTGCAAGTGGTTAGGGAGCAGGTGGTGTGGGTAGCAGGTGGTGGGGGAGCAGGTTATGTGGGTAGCAGGTGGTGTGGGGAGCAGGTGGTGGGGGGAGCAGGTGGTGGGGGGAGCAGGTGGTGGGGGGAGCAGGTGGTGGGGGGAGCAGGTAGTGGGGGAGCAGGTGGTGGGGGGAGCAGGTAGTGGGGGAGCAGGTGGTGGGGGAGCAGTTGAGCTGGCCGGTCTTGTGGTCCCTGTATTGGGGAAGGATCTACATAGCGCCTTGTTATATCGAAACACCTAGCGGATGCTCTCTTTCAAAACCTTTATTGTGAAACTTCCAACAAGATTATATATATATATATATATATATATATATATATATATATATATATATATATATATATATATATATATATATATATATATATATATATATATGTCGTACCTAATAGCCAGAACGCACATTTTGGCCTACTATGCAAGGCCCGATTTGCCTAATAAGCCAAGTTTTCCTGAATTAATATATTTTCTTTAATTTTTTTCTTTTGAAATGATAAAGCTACCCATTTCATAATGTATGAGGTCAACTTTTTTTTATTGGAGTTAAAATTAACATAGATATATGACCGAACCTAACCAACCCTACCTAACCTAACAAGTTAGGTTAGGTTAGGTTAGGTAGGTTAGGTAGCCGAAAAACAATTAATTCATGAAAACTTGGCTTATTAGGCAAATCGGGCCTTGCATAGTAGGCTGAGAAGTGCGTTCTGGCTATTAGGTACGATATATATATATATATATATATATATATATATATATATATATATATATATATATATATATATATATATATATATATATATATATGACCGAATATATATATATATATATATATATATATATATATATATATATATATATATATATATATATATATATATATATATATATATATATATATATATATATATATATATATATATATATATATATATATATATATATATATATATATATATATATATATATATATATATATATATATATATATATATATATATATATATATATATATATATATATATATATATATATATATATGTATATATATACAGGGGCAGGGGTGAAGTACTCGTAAAAGTAAAAAACTAATAATATTGTTTTGAACAACAAATACTGTATTGAATTACCTGATACTGCTGCTTACTGACTTTTGACATATTTTTGACTAGCACATTTATATATACGTCAGTAAGCTGGGACCAGGTGATGAATCTTAATGTTTATCACAGTAAAGGTCTACAGATGATGAATTACAACAACGTGGCTGAAGATTCGCTGTGGATGAGGAGTCTAATTAAGAATTTGTGTTACACTGAAATATAGTCAGGGACCTAATTTCTGTCAATAATTAGGGGGCCAGATTCACGAAGCAGTTACGCAAGTACTTACGAACGTGTACATCTTCCCTCAATCTTTGACAACCTAGATTACATTTATTAAATAGTTTACAAGCATAAAAACTTCCCCATCAACTGTTGTTATTGTTATAAACAGCCTCCTGTTGCTACGGAGCTCATTAACCATTCAATAATTGCAAACAAAGCCGCCAAAGATTGAGAAAAGATGTACAGGTTCGTAAGTGCTTGCGTAACTGCTTCGTGAATCTGGCCCTAGGACCTTTGAGACGCCACCAGCTTCCTGTCCCTGTTTATGCCACTCTTCACGATGGTCCCA